CTTATGTGGTTTCCTCTCTCTCCCTTGCTCTCTTTCTGAGTGGCTTTAAGGGCTAGATGCCTGGGTTTCTACACCCACTTTCAGTACCATTGTCTATTTATTTCTAGATCCCTCCCAATTTTACTCCAAGGCCCAAAGTAAACCCCTTATATAAAATGTTCTTAACAACATGAGAGACTATTATGCCAGTAACTGTAGGGGACATACATTTAAGGTCTGTATTAGGGCTTGTTTCAAGCAAGACGGCATATGCTATCACATGTTTCATGTGGGGGAACAGCTTGAAAACATGCTGTTGGAAAGCATTTCTTCAAGTAGGGTTTCAGGATTTTGTCCAGCTTCTGACACTAAGGCTAGAAAAGCAGTCACTCCAGGACACTTGTATGTATATGTTTCTGGAAAACTATAGTCAAGGCCAAGGGAATGCTCATTAAATATTGTCACCTAAGATCTTAATATTGTGGATTTTAAAGAACAAGCCTCTGACAATATTCACCTGAGGACATAAAAATGCTCTGGATTTGACGGCTAAAGTTAAGTTTTATTGATAGGAGATCCAAAGCATTCTCTCCAGCAAGTCAGGAGCCAGAGCACGGATATGGATGCTTAGGATGCCTGTGAGGCGAACATCACAGGCTTCCGAAGGAGGCTAAGGCAGTCTCTGCTCACTTTATAGCAGACCAGGCCTGAAGCTCCATTTAAAAAGGAGTCAAGGGCCGGCCCCGTGGCTTAGCGGTTAAGCGTGCGTGCTCCGCTACTGGTGGCCCGGGTTCGGATCCCGGGCGCGCACCACGCACTGCTTCTCCAGCCATGCTGAGGCTGCGTCCCACATACAGCAACTAGAAGGATGTGCAACTGTGACATACAACTATCCACTGGGGCTTTGGGGAAAAAAAGGAGGAGGATTGGCAATAGATGTTAGCACAGAGCCAGTCTTCCTCAGTAAAAAGGGGAGGATTAGCATGGATGTTAGCTCAGGGCTGCTCTTCCTCACAAAAAAGATAAAAAATAAAAATTAAAAAAATAAAAATAAAAAGGAGTCAAGCTCCTTTATTCTAAGCTGTTTTTACCAGAAAGGCAAACCTAATGAACATTAAGGACTTTCTCTCCGAAATAATGTACATATACAAGGGTTTTGCACATAACCTGGGCCCATCATGGACTCCAAATTAAAAAGCTCTATCAAGGTGGTACACTAGCTCCCTCAGGACTGGAGACATACACTCTGATGCAGCCTTCATCCCAGGAATGTTTTCACTCACACTCTTTCATCGGCTCCCACAAGAATATAAATCTCACTGTGATTCATCCCACTCTCTGGCACAGACTAACAAAAAAGAACACATAACGAAGCACTGTAATACTCTTTTAATATGCACCTCATCAAACACACAGCAGAGAGTAATATAATTTATAATCTACCAACCAGATGAGTATTTTCAACAGTTCTTGCCTGTATACTTACAGGCCTGGCCATGCAATTCATATTTCATTTCTATTTCTATACTTTGTGCTCAAGGCAGGATGGCTGCTTGTTTACACAAGTTTCAATATTGTTATTAGCAGTATCCGGTCTTTTTTTCTATCATGCTGCTTTCAAATATGTTTTCTGGCCTTGAATGCCCAAGGACACCAAAAACAGTTATAGTTCAAAAACCATTAGATACTGCCTGCTGTAAGTTTGAGTATGCCCTTTAGGGACATGAAACATAATCAAACTGCTTACAGCTTAGAGATCTGTCTCAACATTTAACATTATTTTATTTAAGATTAAGTTATAAAAGTACTATTTGGGGAGTGGGGCACATATGATATTCAGACATGGACTTGAGCTCTATTTTCAGAGAATTCTGTTGAGACTGCTAAAAACAATGGCTTACAGTTACTGAATGTTACTACATACCAGATTCTTGGCTAAGTACTTTACATAAATCACCTTATTTAATCCTCACAACAGACACAATTGAAGGAATGTGGCACACTGGCTATTTGGTCATCCAATTTGCTTCTCTTTCCTCTGAGTACACAGTTAGGTTGCTTTCCCAGCCTTACGTGCAGTTAGATGTGGCCTTGTGACTAAGTTCTGGCCAATGGAATGTGGAAAAAAATAAGGAAAGCATCTTCTAGGCTTGACCCATACAATCTTACCCAATCTTCCATGCTCTCTCATTTCCCCCATCAACTGGCTGATTGCAGAAATCTGCAGAGCAGAAGGCAGAGCCACAAGATGGAAGGAAGCTGGGTTGCTGAATGACCACACAGGAAGCCACCCACAGAATGCCCGCAGTGAGTAAGAGATAAACTCCTATTGTCCTAAGTCAGTGATCTTCTTGGGTTGTTTTTTACAGCAGTTAGACAGTACTGAAAGTAATTTTATGAGCATAGAGAGGTTAAGTAATCTGCTCACACACACACAGCTAATAAGAGGTAGCAGATTTGAATCCAAGTGGTTTGTCTTTAGAAACCACGTAATTAACTGCTATTTGATTACATTCTTTTTTCACAAGTTCCTCATATAACATAAAATTCTCCTATACCTGATTTACTATATCCGAGGGAGGTGGTTGGATAAAGGTCCAAAGTTCTTGATAGAAGATAATTTCTTCAAATAAATCACTTGATTTATATATCTCTTTATTAACCATGTAAGAGGGGGCTATGCTGCTTAAACAACTTAGCAGGGTACCTCTGTTCTTTTTTGAAAGTTTATATTCAAAGGTTCTTGAGTAGTTATTAATGCCCTATAACAAATTACCCCAAAAACTTGGTGGCTTAAAGCATTTATTATCTTTCCCAGTCTCTGTGGGTCAGGAATTCAGGAGAGGCTTAGCTTTTAGCTTGGTGGTTCTGACTCAGGGTTTCTTCCGAGGTTGCACTCAAGATGTCAGTCAGGGCTGCATCATCTGATGGCTTGACCAGGGCTGGAGGATTCACTTCCAAAGTGGCTCACTCACATGGCTGGCAAGTCAGTCTGGTTGTTGGCAGGAAGCCTCACTTGCTCCCCACAAAGCTGTGTGACTACCCTCAGAACATGGTAGCTTGCTTCCCTCAGAGCAAGCAAACCCAGAAACCAAGGAAAATGCTGCGAAGTCTTTTATGACTCGTGTTCAAAGTTACACTCTATTACTTTGCAATATCCTATTGATCACACTGGGATCATTTTCCTACTGACCAATTCCTATTGATCACATTGGGATCCCCTATTCATAGTTGAAGGGGACTACACAAGGGAGTGAATACCAGGAGACAAGGGTACTGGGAGTCATTTTGGAGGCTAGCTACCAGAAGAGCCCATTCACTCATCCAACACACATGTACTGACTGCCTACTGAGTGCCTGGGAGAAAGCAGGGAACAGAACAGACAAAAGTCCCTGCTCTCATGAAGCATACACTCAAGTGGAGGTCAGAAAGGCAACAGATCTAATTAATAAGTAAATTATACAATATGCTAGAAAGTGGTAAGTGCTATGGAGAGAGAGAGAAAGCAGGGTCAAGGGGAGGGGGAGTGCTGGAGGACGGGACTATCGGCAATTTTAAACGGAAGATCGAGGTAGGCCTCACTTAGAAGGCCTGAAAGAGGTGAGGAAACATGCTATGTAGTTATAGAGGAAGAGTGTACCAGGAACAGCAACTGCAAAGGCCTTGCGGCAGGAATGTGTGGTGTGTGCAAGAACAGCAAGGCAGTCAAGGTGGCTGCAGAAGTGAAATAAAAGAGAGGCAGTACGAAATGAGATGAGGTGAGTAACAGTGGGGAGAGCAGAGACCATGTGGGACCTTCTAGGCTCTTGGAAGGCTCTGCCTTCCACTCAATGAAATGGGAAGCCATTGGATGGTTCTTAGCAGACAACTGACACGATCTGACTTAATATTTAAAAAATCTCAGGGCCTAATCGTTAAGTTTGGTGTGCTCCGCTTCGGTGGCCCAGATTTGGTTCCCAGGTGTGGACCTACACCACTCACTGGAGGCCATCCTGTGGCAGCGACCCACATACAAAACAGAAGAAGACTGGCACAGATGTTAGCTCAGGGTAAATCCTCAGCAAAAAAAAAATGTCACTTTGGTGGCTGATATCAGAATAGATAGGACAAGGGTGGGAGCAGGGAAACAAATTAGAGGCTCTTGTAAAATTCCAGACCAGAGATGATGGTAGCTTATGTTAGAGTGTTATCAGGGCAGGTGGTGAGAAGTGGTCAGATTCTAGACTTATTTTGCAGCACAATTAATCCACCATTCTAGGTAAAGATTTTATTTAGGAGGACCAGCATTTTTTATTAGATCCCAGAGCTGTGGCTATCAAATAGTACCCTAAGGGACCCTACAAGTTCTGAGAAGCTTCATAGGGATTTGCTACTAGGAGCTGGGATGGGACAGATGGGTGAAGCTTCATGTCCCCTACCCCAGTTTTGTAAGAGCAGCTCTGTGTTGACACACCTCATTATATGGGGTGAAGGAGATCTTCTTAAGAAAGAACAGAAACTCCAGTGCCCTAAAGGGAAAGACAGACCACACACACATACACACTGAAAAAATACACCATTTATAAAACCAAAAGGCAAAGTACAGATTAGGAAAAATACTTGCAACGCAAATAAAAATAGTTTACTATCCCTAATATAAAAAAAACTCTTACAAATTCATAAGAGGACAGCCAAGAAAAAAAAATGGGCAAAGGCCATTTTCAAAATGAGGTTCATAATAGTACCTTCTTCATCAGATTGTAGTTAGGATAAAAGGACAACATACATAAAGTGCCTAGCACAGTTCCTGGTACAGAATAAATGCTCAATAAGTGTTGCCCACCACTGTCGCAACCATAACCACTATTGTTGCCCTCATAACCATTGTTGCCACTGCTGTCATCATGAGATGATTATCATCAGCACCATCACCACCACTATCAGCAACTTCAGTGGGAACCCGAGTTAACCCTGAATGCCAGTTCCAACTCAGCTTCCTCCAAGGTAAACTCTTCACTCACAGCGACCAATTATATATTACCTTTTCATGATTTTCTATTAGGATCTCAATGACAATGTTCTGAAATTTGATATCCATGATGGCTGCTACTGTTTCTTCCTGAGGCCGCAGCAGGGTGGGTCCAAACACCACGCCAAGGTTTGCCACCGTCATCAAATTCTGCTTATGGTTGTTAGCAACACTGAGAGGAAGGAAAAGAAAAGGCACAAATGAGAGAAATAGTGTACGAATAGACAGCTGACACCCCTGTACCCTTCCTATCTTTAGGTTCCTCATCCAGTAGGAGCCAGACCTTGGGACATCTTTTAGTGCCCTTGGAGTCCAAAGAGAGACTTTTCTCCTCACATTTTCGTCTACCAAAGTTTCAGAAATCTTCAGTGTTCAGGCTATTTTGCTATTCCAGGATGTGACAATCCATACCATTTCCATTTTGCCTAAAACAACCAACCAGCCAAAGCAGCTGCCTTCTAAAATGTGAACCTTTGCACATCTGAATCCCTGTTCTGCAAGTCCTGGTAACTGCTAATCCCTCTTAGTTACAACTTTTATACTTGGCTGCTGCTAAAACCACTGTGATCATTAGCATTTTCTCTAGTGCAAATATAAAAACCCTTGATGGCTTTAATACATTTGTAAACATGGCACAAAATAGACCTAATTTTTAAAACGGGTTGATCTGGATATTTAAAATGAAGTCAGGAAATTCAGCACTTTAGGCTCAAAGTATTAAAGCCCCATCACATTAAACATGTGGCTCACTTTAAGTGAAATATGTGGCATAAACAGAAAAATGCACTACTGTAGATCCATGTACATGGCTGTGTTTATATTGTCACTTATACTCAAGTCTAAGGAACACACAGGGCCAACAGTAGCTGGGTTGAGTAATTTGCTAAACACACACATATTTTTAGATAAACAACTACTCAAAACATATATCTGAACTCCATACCCAGGCCACCATGACCTAGCCATAAAAGTTAATTATTCATTTGCTGACCATGCCTGTAAAAATACACAAATTACCTATTGACAACAAATAAGTTAAAAGTTAAGGGAATTCAGTATTGTTAAGAAAATATTAGGGGTTCCCCTAAATCACTTGTTAGAAGAAGGAAACTATTCATTACACGAAACTGGAGAGAAATTGGGCAGAGACGGCAGTTTGTACAGACATACCTCCCTAGCATTTAGTGCTATTTATACTGAGTATTTTTTCACACAATTCTATAAATGCCTGCACTGTTTCTCCTGTATACTTCTATTTTGTAGGAGGAAAAGAGGTTCTACTGACTTAAGTGCTGGTTTTGAAACTGAGCCTTTACTGAAATACTACATCAACCAATTTCATCAGCACATGTGTACTTTTCTATAATTTCTAGGGCTGAAAGTCTAATTTCATAAAAACTTCCTCCTCTAAAAGGGGGCAGGGGGTGGTTAGGGGGATGACACTTTAACCATGGAACAGCCCAGCTAGGAGGAGAATTTGCTTTTTGACTGCTAAGCAACACCTGCAGCAAGGAAAGTTGCCACTGATATCCTGGCCTGATTCTGGTCCACCAGAAAATATTTTACAAACATTTTTTGAGTTCTAGCTGAATCTCCTGATTTTACTTATAGTTTTCCATGTTACCAAGAACTGCATCACATTTCTAGTCTGAAAGAGTTAATGCAGATGGTCAAGTTGTCACCTGGCAAGGGGTAAAGACTTCGGTTCTGTGCCTCAGTCAATCAGCAAGTATGCATATTTACAAGCTGCTCGTAACATCACTACTTTCAACATCAGCTCCTGTGCGCAGGAAGTGAATTCCATGCCCTTATGCTTCCCTTCCCAAATGAGCTGAGTCAGTAGACTTAAAAAGTCTTGTCACAAAAGTCCCTTGTGCAAATGAATCAACAAGCTATTTATGTATGAAAGAACCTTTAAATTGCAGACCAATATAAAAATACATGGTTTGGATGACGATCATTTTTCACCATCACGCTTTTCAACACTACATCTGACTAAAGCAAGAGACTCCTAACTAGTTTCCCTAACTAGAATCTCTAGGTTCAGCTTTATCACACCTGCTACCAGCAGTTACTGTTTAAAACTCAGCTCCGATCATGTCATTCCTCTGCTGGAAACTACAATGGCCCTACACCTCCCTGGGTTGTTGGGAGCGAACACAATGACACAGCATATGTAAAGTGTTTAGCAATGCTTCTGTTGTTTGACTGTTCTGGTAATGGTGATTATAAACCCTTGGTGGGCTCCACTGTTTTTAATATAAAGTCTAAATTCTTATGAAACAGCACACTTTTTCCCACTCACCTCTAACTCCTCCTCTGCCACCTCTCAGCTCTGGGTCCCTGGGCAAGGGACTCAATATGTCTAAGCTTTGGGTTCTTCCTCTTGAAAAAAAGGGGTGGGGCTGGGGTGAATAATACACCTACTTCATGAGGCTGTGCAGATTCAAGGTGATGATGCATGGGAAGTGTGGTCATTGTTATGATTATAATAATTCACTATCCATTTTCTTTCCACGTTCACACCTATCTGCCTTTGTCATTCCTCTGCCTGGCGTGTTCTTACTCTTCTTTCTTTGCTTGGCAAACTGTTGATCTGTAAGGCTCAGCTCCAATGGGTCCCTTCCTTTCTGCAGTCTCTGTCTAGTCTTTCCTCAGTCCTCCACCCCTCAATGAAGGCAGTAGTGTTGGCCTGCTCCTGTATTTATTACACGTTATTAATGTCTCTACTGCTGCCTTAAGATAGAGACTGCGCTTATTTTAGGTGGTACCACCAGCCCTGAGCACCGTGCCTGCTGGCCCAGGAGAAGCACAGTAAATCTTCACTAGGTATAAAAGATGATAGGAGCTTCTGAGTAGACATAAAACAATTATTCTCAACGTAGCTACTTACTCATAAAACCTCATATTATTATTGATGATTTTTTGGGAATGTATCTTAACTATCCCAACGTCTCTTTTCAGAGTCTGGAGCTGTGTTCTATTTCTCAGATTTAATTAATGAGTAATAATTACTCTGATTTACAGGCCCCAATGCCCAAAGGCATTTGGAAAAAAAGTACAGTAATTCCGGATAAGTAACTCTGAATATAAGTATGCTTGAGGCTACCCAATATAATTCATTTCCTTTTTAATGATCCATTTTATTTTAGAACTTAAAAAACACATTGATCTAAGTCTTATGAAACTTTTGAGGAAAAAAGTTGCACCTTTCATGACTAACTACCATTATCTTTTGGCATAGTGAAGTAATAAATTGATCTGTCACTTGATTATTACTGCTCACAACTTGGTATGGCTATGTTCATTACTCCAGAATGAATTATTAATAGCTTGAAATCTCTATGTATCCGAAGAGAAAGGCCTAGACCTCAGCGTCTGCTGGCACCAGCCATCTATTATAGCTTGACAAATTTACAGATGTGTGGGAGGGAGGCTGGCAGAGCACTGGGAAGCCTGTCCAGCAGAGGCCACGGGACTCATTCATTAGCGAGGTCTAGAAAACACCAAGAGCCTGCCTTCTGGGTTGGTAATTGAGCTGCTTGAGCTCTGTCTCATACAGTCCAGAATGTCATGTTGAGGCCTGACTTAAAATCCATACACAAAAGTTTCTTGTGCATTGCACATTCCACTGGAGGAGTCTCTGACATGCCTTTCAGATCCCTCGGGCCACATGGACTTTTCTGTGATGCCTTCTGAGAAAACAGCCAATTCTACAGGCTTTCTTTGCAGGTTGCAGAGAAACAGTTCCACATGCAATTTTAACCTGGGGGAGACCCAGTTCCTTTTGTGACCATTAAGAGTTTGCTCTATCAGCTGAGAAGCAGTGTACCTCCTGAGGGGCGTGTCTTCAGGACAGTTGTTGGGGCATTTGCGCCCCATGTTCTCTGCAGTTTCCTCATGAATTGCAATTATTGAAGAAAGCGCACGTTCTAAAGAAAATGGCCTTGGCAGAGAGGCCTCTTGCCACCTCTGTTTCAAGGGAAAATGGACGGGAACTCTGGATTGGTGTGACGCCCTTTGAGAAGCAGGAGGAGGCAAATCACTTCCAGATGAGGATGGTGGTGGAGGAGCGTTAGGAGGGGAGGAGACAGCGGCCAACTCTTTTGGGGCCTGTAACGCAGAGACCCCCACGCTGTCATTGGGATTGCATCTATTGTCCTAGCGTTTAAATGCGAGTCAGAGCTCTGTAAGTGCTAAGCAGTACTTGATAACCACAGACTGGTCCTGCTGTACTCCAACAAGACATAAGCCTATTGCTAGGTTTACAAAGAGGTTTCATCTTGAGGCCTGGTGTGCTGTGTCGAGGAAGGTCAAAGCTGAGTCTTGGTTCCACTGGACACAACGTGGTGACAGATTAGCACTATCTGCGAGGGACTGAATGGGTGGAGTAACAGCATAGCAAATTTATCTGCTATCCTTTATCTGCTTGCTTCAGCTTCCAGTGTTAAATAATAATACTAACTTAGACTTGTCTGGTGTTTTAGAGTTTACAAGGAGTTCTGCAACAATGTTTTATGTTTATTTGACGTTCATAATGACTCTAGAACAGTAGCTCTCAAATTTTCTGACAATGACTCATGGTAGGAAATATATTTTCCCACGTTAACATTTCACTTATGCATACATACATATATACTTACATAGACACACACACGCCAGAAGCAAAAGTTTCAGGAACAGTGTGATGAATTCTGATATTTTCTTACCTTTTTTTATCTACTAAATCGATTTCATAACCCACTAATGTGCCATGACCTACAATTTGAAAAGTGCTACTCTAGCTATATAGAGTACAAATATTATCTCCAATTTACAAACAAGGAAAAAAAGGCTAAGGAAGACAGTATAGCACAATGGATGGAGTCAGATAGAAAATCCCAGCTGGACGACAGCAGGCAAGTCACCAGGCGTCTCTAAACCTGTTTCTTCACCTGTAAAATAGAAGCAATAATACCTACCACATAAAGTTTTAAGGCTGATTAAGTAAGATTAGGTGAGTAAATCTCTTGGCATGAAATAATGGCTTAATAAATGATAGCTGCTATTGTTCACGGTGGCAGTCAAGGCAGTGATGATGACAGCGGTAGAAGCAGCAGCAAGCGCCAATTTAAAGCTGCACTGTTAGCTGGTGATGTCATTTGGTGTCCCGCCCAGGAACTTCTAATGGCCTGCTTCTGCCTGGGGCGAGGAGTACTGCCTCCTCCACCTATATTTCCAGGGCTTCTATAACCCTACCTTTCTGTATTTCTCTTCTTGTTATTCTTTCTTTCTTTTTTAAAAATTATGAAACACTTCAAATCTATAGAAAGTTCAAAACGTAACATTACTTATTTTCCATCACTTCCTTATAAGCACCTCTGGCACGACAGGCTGAGAGCCTCACAGGAAGCCTCAGCAAACCCACCAAACTCACTCTGCCTTCAGGAGCACCAACTTGCCCTGGCCTGCCTGGCAAGTCCTCCCCTAACTGTCCAAAGCCCACCTCCCTGGAAAGCCCAGCTCTGGACACTCCCCTAACTGGAGGCCACGCCGAGCTCTCTCCTCCAAATCATTATGTTCACAGTCAATTCCATGGGACGTTTCCATACCGACTGCTCCCCTTCTCTCGAGCGCCCCAGGACTGCGGGCTGGATCATGGTCTTGGAGTGCCTCCTCTGCAGCACACAGGCAGGTACTGGGTGGGCCCCAGCTTATCAGTTCTGAAAGTAGTTGAGTGGGTGGGCACCTAAGCTGCAATAAATATCACTTTTCTTTGTACTACCCTCTCAGAAGCTCCAAGCTCTGGGGCTGAGAAGAATTAACTGGAAATAAAGCTGCTGGAACTATACTTTTTTTTGTGGCTAACCAGGCAAGTTTAGTTTCTAGGGTTGTTAATGTGGTTCCTTTCACCAACTTCAAATCCATCCTTAGTATATATTGGGGAGTGGGCTTGGGAATCACCACCACCACTGGCTGTGTGTTTTCTACTAAGTCAGACTATGTGTGTGTGTTGCATGGAGACCACCTGGATTTGGGGAGGACTTGGATGGTGCTGAGGAGGCCTCTGCTGAGGAAACCCATCAGAGCCATAAATATAGCTTTGCTGGGCTGCCCCAATGGCTGGCACCAGAACGAGAGTTTAAAATAAATTGTTCTGTGTACTGATTGGGCTCATGCTTGCCAACCATATTCAACATCTTTCTGGGAATGGTTATCTAGTGAGAAGTCAGACGGGAAGCTTTAATAATTGAGTGCTTATGATGGATATTTTCACACAGTGTAATCTTCAAGAGAACCCTTTGAGGCATAGGTAAGACTATCACTACCATTTTACAGATGAGGAAACTGAAACACTGAGAAGCTAAGTAATTTGCCTGAGGTCACACAGCTAAGGAAGGGCAGAGCCAGGAGAGGAACTCAGTGTGGCTGCACAGCCCATACTCTTCACCATGGCATTCCACTGCTCCCACACAACTAGGGGTCAGTTCGGCCTAGGCTAAAAGAGGCATTCTTTTTCCTCAGAAAACTCAACCAAAAATGAATATACAGAGCAGTTATATGCTTGAGCCTGTGAGGAAAAACATAGTGGTTATGACAGAAAAAAAATGCTGTTCCCTCATTCACCACCCAAACTACTAAATTGGAAGAAGAAAAAGAGAGAGAGAGAAAGAGAAAGCATTATGCTTGTGCGAGTTATATTGGACTAAACACTGTTTCTTCTCCCTTCTTGCAGTGAAAATGGTTGCCTGCTTGACAAAATAACGAAAATGATGAAATACCCACAAATATGACAGCATTCCATTTGTAGTTGGCTGGCACAGCCAGAGAGCTGCTTCCTAATAAAGAAGTAGTGAATATTATAAGATCAAGAGAGAAGAGTGAATTAAAAGAAAAAAAGGAGGAGGGGCAAAATGGAAGCCATGCCAAAATGATTTCCGTAGCCCCAAAAGAAGACAATTATGGCCATATGTGCGTCCATCCATGCTGTACTGCTTTCATCCAAGGATCTCGAAGCTTTGTGAATAAATACCAACGTCTTCTCTGCTTCTGGTGAAAGGTATAAACTGTATTTCAGATGGGTAAACATCACTGCTAAGATGTTAAGTATTGCCCAGTATATACATACATCACCTTTAATGCCCACTTAAAGCCATAAAATATTCACAGGATATAATTCTCATTATGACATGCAGTACCTAATATAGCATAAGCTCACAATATTATACCAGTCTCCTTCCAATACACTTAAATCTTCTAGGATAGTGTCTCCTGTGTGTTTCTTTTTCTTTTCTTATTCCTTTCTGAAATCCCTTTATTTCCTGCTTGCCTTTGATTATTATTAAGACTGTCATCAATAATAACAGCAACTGACATTAACCGAGCACCTACTGTGTCAGGCACTAAGTACTCCATCGGAGATCTCATTTGATCTTGACAATAACCCTACGAGGTAAGTTCCATTACTATCCCACGCGAAGAAGCTAAGGCTCAGAAAATTCAGAAATCTGTCCAGGGTCACATATCAAATAAGCGGTAGGGCTGGAATTTGAAGCCAGGCAGTGTGCGGTCTGATTCCACACCTGCTGCTCTTAAATGCTCTAGTACTATGCAGTGTGTTTGTGTATGCACACGCATACAGACACGTGAGATATAACGTGTATATATATACGGTATATATCCTGCTACTTTATCTCACTTGCCTCCCTTCTTTTCTACATAGCCTAATCTTAAAGAGATCATGAATACAAGGACAACCTGATTATTTTTAAAATGATGTTTTGAAAGCAAACAAGGATATTAGGCTTATCTCTGCACTCCAACAGTATAAAATCCCTAAGCTTTTCTATTGGTAGAACACTAATCTGGGTCATGAGAATTATTGGAACCCTTCCCCCTCCGGAATAGGCCAGGTTTCATTAACAAGAATTATACTTTTGCTGCTAAGCTGCCTAGTTTTCCTGAATTAGTCACAGTCGTTTAGCGACTAACAACAGGCCAACCTGAATTCTATTTGCCCTACACTATCTCAGTTACTTGGTATTTGAATAGTCTTAGGCACATGGAAGGCACATCCCTTCAATCTAGGGGTTAATTGATTAGCTTTCCCCTCTTTGGGCCTGGTCGGTTCAGGCTCTAGCCTGCAGCTGTATTCTTGGATCCAGTCTATAGGCCCGGATGGGGAAAAACAGCACGTACATGTAAAAAGACCTGCAGAGAAGCTGGCCCAGGGAACTCTTCTTCCTGGAAAATTACTTACTATTTCAAATTACATAACAATCCATTCTAAAGTCCAATGTAATTATCATTTTCAAAGCATTTTACACTTTTAAAAGTCCTTTCACATTTATTGTCACTGATTTATTTATTTTGAAGCTTATGTTCTCAAATCTAGAGAGAGAGCCAGAGCAGAAAAAGAGGAGGTATAAAAGCTGCATACACGCATGCCAACCTGATGTCACCAAGAGCTGCGAATGCATCCGTTTCTGTTGGTGGCAGCGCTTCCTTCAATGGCTCAGCGTATCACCTTTAGGCTAACACTGTCCAAAAAGGCAGGCCATGGTGAAATTGCCTTAGGACTTTCTACCCAAAGGAGGTGCAAGGTGACCCAGCACAGAGGCCAACAGTGCATCATCTATTTTTCAATTATCAAATATTTCCAAGTGCCTGTGGATACAGCAGTGAACAAAACAGACACCCTCCAAAATTCCCTGCTTTAAGAAGCTTACATTCTTTTGGGGTAGCACAGACTATAAGCAAATAAAATATATGGCAGAAAGGGAGCACCGGGGGACTGTTTGCAATTTTAGACAGGGTGGTCAGGGAAGATGTCACTGAGAAGAAGGTATGTACTAACAACCTGAAGGAAGGAAGGAAGCAAGCCATGTGGATCTCTGGGAGGAGAGCTACAGAACAGCAAACAGTAGATGCAAACACCTAAGGTAGGAACGTGCGTGGCATGTTGGCAACACCAAATGAAAGTCAGCATATCAGCATATCTGCAGAGTGGCAGACAGCAAAGAAGTTAGACAGGTAATGGACTTGGGGGCCGCAAATCCTGTAAGACTTTGCAGGCCACCGTGAGAGCTTTGTTCTCCACTGAATGAGATAGAAAGCAATAAGAAAATTCTGATCAGAGGGATGACATAATATTAGTTACCCCTCTCTGTAGACTCAGAAAGGTCTCAACTATTAAGACTTTAATGCTCCAATTCCATGGGCTCCTTAACTTTCAAGGAGAGATATAGGAACTTTAAAAACTAGCATAAAGCCCAGTAAGAAAATTCAAGACATGTAAAAACCAGAACACAGCACCATTCATATATTTATTTGAGTACTAAAACATGCCGGGCACTGTGCCTTTCACCTGTCTGTGCTAAAACGGTAGGTCTCTGAAAGTGTTCCACATTTTTCCCTCAGTCATTGTGCTGACACTGGGAAGCTTGGTGCAAGAACAGAATGCTTAATCAAACCTGAACTGGAGGACTAATGTAAGTAACAGCCCCTGGGTGCTAGTTGCCAGTCACCCACAAACAGCACCAATATTAAAAATGGCAAGTAAACATTTATAGAGCCCATTGAATTTAACCATCTTAACAATCTTTAATTAGCTAAAATAAACAGTAGTCTTCTAAAGCCAGATCCATATGGCTAGTCCCATTTTGCAGATGAAAGAGCAGGGACAAAAGGAGCCCAATCAAAGGTTAAGGGATTGGCCCTTCGCCATGTGGTTTAGCTCCAACAAGAACAGTGGCTCCGAGACTGAGCAGTCAGAGCTCTTCACTTCCCACGAAATGCAAACCTCATTTCTGCTTCTATGGAAATGACCGTAATCCTTTCTGGAGGAAGAATCAGGATTCCAAACCCACAGATGGGATCACGGGAAATGTTACAGCGAGAGATTCACAGATTGATAGAGAGAGAGAGAAACACCCATGCATGCACGCACGCACACAGAGACCCTGGCTAATGTCTCCTTTCATGGAGATTTTTTTAAATAAGGGAAATAACCCATCTCACTGGCGTATTTTTGAAAAGAAGTGTACTCCCACCCCAAAAAGGAAACAGACAGAAAAGCACATTCCTTGCCATAAGTCTGAACCAAATTGAAAGGCTGAGGTTGAAAAAGCTGGCTTTATTTCAAGGGCCAACGTACCACAATGAATGGAATTTATAAACTTACACATGTGCTATCACAGAACTTTTGAATTACATGTGAATATTCAATTAATAGAGAATAACAATTATTTCAAGATGTCCTGAAAAGTTCATAGCTCTTCATGTAGAAGAGCTGACACCCCATGGAAAAGTTGTGGAGATCACTTAGTAATAACAATAAAAGACGAAATCCCAGATTTCTAACATCCACGAAGAATTACTGAACACAACATCAACATTCTATATGTTTATATGTCTGATGCTAAAGAATAGAATTCTTTAAAAAAGACAACATACTTTTCACAGTCTGTAAAAGTTAGAAAAAAACCTGAGTGGATTACACCTTAATACATCTCCCTATTCCTGAAGCTCGATGCCAACATCTCCTAGGCTCCCTGCTGCACTAAATTGTTATCTCCTAAAACTTCAATGTAAGTTCAAGCCCAGCTGAAACAACAGCTCATCTTATTTATTTATACATATGAAATAACTGTGTTTATATATAGTGATACATGTTAGAATAAGGAGTGAACACATAAACCCTTCTGTTATATTTATTGCCTTAATCACAAAAATAGATTCATCAGGGAATTATGCCAATAGAGTTCTTACTTCAATGCACGCAAAGCAAAACCTGATTTATCCTCCTCATAGGCAGCACAAAACTGGAATCTCACTGAATTCTGCTATCTTGGAAGCAAATTATAAAACAAAGTACAGTGTTGACAAACAGGAACTAGAGATCCTGTGAGAAAACCAACGTATCATTAGCCAGAGAACAGCAGATAGTGTCTGGTAACAGACACACCAAATGATTTGAACAGTGGAGTTAAGATTTGGGCCCCTGATCCACCCATCATTCAGGCTCTCAGCAAGTGTCATTCACAAGGCCCAAACCCAATACTTTTCAGTGGGGAAGTCAAAGTGTTTAACGACAAAGTTCTAGAATGCCTTCAATTGTGCAGACATCAAAGCCTGACACCTTAGCTGTTGTCATCTTGCTTTGCCAGGCTCATCAGGCAAGGTAGGCGAATAATGCCAAGCTGATGGCAGTGGAGACGGGGAAGAGGATTGCAATGTAGGCTACAGAAGCACTTCAAGGACACAGTGGTGCACAATTTCCAGTAGAAAAGCCATCAATAATCAACTTCAGCAAACCAATCTGGATGGCATATAAATCAGCAGAGATGAAACAACTTAACGAACATCAGATCCTCAAAAGTAACGCCAAACTCCTCACCGTGGCCCACATGATCTAACCCCACCTCTCCAAACTCCATATCGTTCCATTCTGCCCTCACTCACAGCTCCAACTACCCTGGTCTTCTGCACATTCCTAAACATACCACATCTGCTCATGCCCAACTCTGACTGAACACCTACAAGATGCCCATGCCCCCTTCTAGGCACTGGGATGCAGCTGTGAACCAGAGAGACAAGATCCCTGCTTGGGATATGCTGGCATTATATTCCAATTGGGCAGAGAGATAATACACAAATACATCAGTAGAAAGTCAGACTGTGAAAGCAGCAAGAAAAAATTAAACAGAAGCATGTGATAAAAACTGGTGAGGAGCACCAAAGCCTCTCCAAGGGGAAGACGTTGAGCTGAGCCTACGCATCAAAGAGTACAGACGAAGTCTGCAGATGGGGAGAAGATTACAAATCACACACGCAAACACAGACGCAATAAGAAGTCATATCTTCAACCACAAACATCAGTGATGCCTGCCTGAGACCTCTTTAAAAGTTATATTCCAGAGGGGTTCACTTCCTTTTCCACAGGAATTCTGAAGTCTGTATCAACAGCTGTTTAGTACAATTGGAAGCACTGGATTCCCTGCCACCCCTATGGTTTCCCACACAGCGATGAGAACACCCTGTGACTCCTGGCTGCTCCCCCCATCTCGTCCATCTCTGTGGCCTCCACCCAGTTAGGAATCGGCTCCTCCTGAAAACGTGTCACTAATGGATCTACTGCTCAGTCTTGCTAACAGAAGGCCACCTTCTAGAAATTTACATAGGAGATAACCACAACACAATCCTGTTGACATGTGCTAGCATTTGGCTGGGTTATTAAAGAGCGAGGTAATCTTTAAACAAGGGCAGGAAACTAACAAGAGTAACACTTTAAAAAGATTGCTTGTGTTTGGAAAACTTGAAGAGAGAGAAGGAGCAAGGTTTAGAGAGTCCTACTACTCTATGAAAGGTCAGCATTCAGAATTCACTATAAAAATGTCAGAAAATCACTTATACTTGCACTCACCAAAAAGAACCTTCTCCATAAATTGGTATTGAAAGATGAAAATTGGTGCTTAAAGGGGCCGGCCCAGTGGCGTAGTGGTTAAGTGCACACGCTCCACTGCGGCGGCCCGGAGTTCGCAGGTTCGGATCGCAGGTGCGCACCGATGCACCACTTGTCAAGCCATGCTGTGGCGGCATCCCATATAAAGTGGAGGAGGATGGGCACAGGTGTTAGCCCAGGGCCAGTCTTCCTCAGCAAAAAGAGGAGGACTGGTGACAGAGGTTAACTCAGGGCTAATCTTCCTCACCAAAAAAAAAAAAAAAAAAGCATTGAAAAAAATTGGTGCTTAAAAAACACAAATAGCAAGTGGCTTCAAGAAATAATTAGTGCATCATTTCTATACCTTACTGTCTCATAAAGCCCCAGTGCAGCTGAAAGTTCTTCAGACTCCTGACCCACTGAAGACAGGATGCCTGCAGTTGTACCTCAGGTATCAGATGAGAGAGCACGTGGCCATGAGTCAGGGGTGTGAACCACACTGGTCGGCCAGGCACCAGCAGCATCTTTGGACTTGCAGATCCATGCGACTCCCACAAGGACCACGCACTGTAGGGATATGATACCTGGCTACACATACACACACACCTCCCCCCACCCCGTGGAACACTCCCTTAAACATATACACACCCAAGTATGGGCCCCCTACCCCCAGCACATACACAGAGATAAACCTATGAAACATAACACTTCTATCTTCCTTAAGACAGAATCAGTAAATGTCATTAGATGTCAGTTTGGTCCTTAGGGTAGTGGCCATTTTTAAATAGCTATCCTTTATTCTTTCTTTTGGTGCAAACATCAAGGAAAAAAACTAAGATATGTGTTTTCCACTTTATTTTTTTGCATTGTAAGTGAAAAGCGTCCACTATGGAATCATTGAAAAAGCCAAAAAAACACAAAGAAAATAGAAATCACCCATAATTCCACCGATCAGAAATAATTAAATTTCATCCAATGTTTTAACGTGTATATGTTAAGCTCAATGTTTTTCCCAGGCATACACACACACACACACACTTGTATTTTAAAACAACCTGGAATCATATTGTATGCATGTAGTTTTATAACCTGTTGTTACTGCTTTACTATGAACTTTTGAAATATCATCCATTATCTTGTTCAACATAGTTATGGTTGTATAGTATTCACTGTGTGGATATTCCATAATTCATTTAAGAAATCCCCTATTATTGGACATTCAGATTATTTTCAATATTTTGTTTCCAATAACACTATAGTGAACCTATACGCATATAAATGCTTTTGGATATCTTTTCTTTCTCTAGAATAAATTCAAAGAAATGGAATTTCTGGATGAAAGAGTATAAGTACTTTTAATACATATTACCAAACTGTCACCTAGGAGACTTGTATCAATTTACACTCCCACCTAGAATGTTTTAGCATGCCTGTTTCTCCGGGCCCTAAGGCATTATTATTTTGAAAATTTTAATAAGTAGTAACCAATATCATGCCTATCTCATTTTAAGTTGCATTTCTTTGATTAGTAATGATATTGAACTTTTCCCAAATGTTTATTGATCCAATTACTTTGTTAAGGGCCCAGACACAACAATTAGTCTCCAGCAAAGCAGACCAAAAGTAACAGGTAAATAATAAGACAAGGCAAGGATGGCAGCTTATTCCTATATTTTAAAAAATAAATACAGCTCTACATCTATTAAAGTATTCCTATGCTTATAATCCATACATCTCTTATGAAATTTGATGAGGAAGAAAAATACTACCGAGATATCAAATCTCTCTCTCTATGAAGCTAGGCAAGGGTGAATCTCCCTGGCTCAGTATTTGGTACAGGAATACACTGGGGTCTACTCAGAGCCACAAACACAGATGGCCGGGAGGCAAATGATGCTAACCTCCCCCCTTGACTCCCTGACCTAGTTTGTAAGCTCCACAAAGGTAAAGACCACATTTGCCTTGTTCTTCAATGTATGCTCAGTACCTGGCAGGACAGGTGCTTATTTCTAGGGCTATTTTCTGGCTGATGGCCAAGGGACTTAAAGGGAGCGAGCTTCAGAAGATCAGGCCCACTGATTTCAATATATCCCACTCATCCCAGTGAGTACTGTGGCACTAGAGGCATCACATAAATGCTTCTGGCTGCTACAGAGGCCAAAAAAGGATCGTAGTACCTCCCAATTGAACTTCACAGGGAAGTTGTAATGACAAAGTGAGGAAGAGAGGAGAAAGAGGTTCCGAAAACTATCCAGTGCTGTGCAAAGTGGGATGATGAGGAAGAAGAGGAAGAGAAGAGGACACATTTAATTACAGGCCTCAAAGAGGCAGGATTGATAAGTACATGCAGAGAATGTTCCAGTGAAGCGGGCCTTGGTAATAATCAAGCTTTCTGCTCTGGTATTCCACGAGCTGCGCGCTGAAAGAGTCTGTCTCCCTGGAGCCCGGGTGGGCGATGGAAAGGGCACAGAGTGTAACTAGGCCACAAAGTCCTAAAGACCAACTTTTAACTGTGGGCCATGGCTGTTGGGCTCTTATTTACTATTCAAGAGTTCTTCTTTATAGAGTTTTCTCTTTGTCTAGAGTGTTCTGCAGCTTCTCTAGGTTGTGTATTTGTATGGACTTAAGTTTTATTTCTCCTTTTGGAATTTGCTGTGACTACTGAATCTGATGTTTCAGATCTTTCAATTTAAAGTCCAGCAGGAAGTCAGCGATTAGCAGAACTAAGCACTGTTGTGCAAGCTTTATTAGGATCAGCATTTTGAGTTGGGAGAGAAAAAAAAATTCCTATGATAAGAACTTGCGCCAGGAAAGAGTCAAAAAAAAGAAAAAAAAAGCACATATCTTCCGCATGTTTGGGAGCCAACGTTGAGATCTCTGGTGAAGGTAAACCTCTGAAAGCGACTGAGGTGACATAACTAGGAAGAGCTGACAGAAAATTCACACTCTGGTAATTCCCAATTAAGCAGTCCGGAGTTTACTGGGAGGGAGTCCCACACCTGAGGTGCGGGAAGGGGAGAGGAGAGGGAGATGAAGGCTTGTATGGCCTGGAAGGGACCATGCCTGCACTAGGAGCAGAGTAGTCTCCCCACCTAGGCGCCTACTGGGTGGGTTTTCTGCTAGGGACAGAGAGGCTTAGAGACCTGTGCCCTTGACTCCTGGTTCTGCTGTCTCACAGCTCTCTATGCCACTCAGAAGCAAAACCACCACCAACTTACTCATCTATATGTAACATATAGTCTCAATTATGAAAAATGGCAATAATCACAAGGAGAAAGCCTGCTAGAGGCTACTGCTGTTCCTGGTTATTGTTCCACACTCTCCAGACTCCTGTACTACCAGCGCCCCTAGAGGCCTCCCCCCGACAGACTAGAACCTGTTGCCATGGTAGCTGCCTTCCCCCCTCTTAGGAAAGGGACACTCCAAGCCATTATGAAAATAAAAAGCTTTTATGTTTCATGACCGCCTCCTCTCCAGCTCTCTCTCTGTCTTGTCCAGTTAAATTCTGGGTAATGCACACAGCAGAAACAGAAATGTGGGCATTTCAATGATAGCAATGATGAAAAAATTAATAGTCCAGCTTCCAGACAGAGGAGGGTGGGAAACAACTGTTCAAAGCAACAGTGTGCGTGTTTGGGTTAGAGAAAGGAAAAAAAAGAATAAAAAGAAAAGTAATTAAAGAAAGACATTCTCTGAAGAACATGAGATCTGACAAACACCAAGCACTGTCTGGTCAGATGCTAAGGAAAGAGGAGGGAGAAAAATCAGTAACAGTGAGGGCTAATGAGGAAGAGTCCCTCAAAGGGCTGAGAAAACAATCCCCTTTTGTTAAGAGAAACCAAAGGAAGGAGTGAGAACCATCTGGAGGCCCAGCCAAAGACATATTTAAGGACTACTCCCTGGAGAGAAATTGAGGGTGATGTATAAGTCACAACCCTACATCATGGGACTCGTTGGTACCCAGCATCGAATGTAAAGTGAAAAATAATGAGCAAGAAATGAGGAACGTTATATCAGGATTGGAGCAATTTTCCATATTGTCCTTATCTCTAAAAATGCATCCTTCTTGCCAACACTCATTCTCATTCTCTCATAACTCTGTTGTGATTGCCCACAAAGGAGGTGTCCTGGCATGTGACTCACTCCAGGGATGCTTCCAAAGTGAGGGATAGCTTCAGACCTCTATTTAAGTCCAGAAAATGGAGAAAGATGTATCGACTCACATGCAGAAAGGAGAAGCAAAGGGACAACTTAGGAAAGTCAAGCCCACACCAAAGTTGTAGAGATTTCATTCCCTGCCCACAAAGACAATGGAGTCACTAAGATAACTGCCAAGCAGTACCTATTCTGCTTCTATGCCCAAAGCCTAAAACTGGAAGAAAGAAGGCTAACTTCCCAAACTCAGACCAGCGGAGGTGAGTAGGCCTAAAATTAGAAGTGATAATAAGTAGAACAAACGATGTTCAGCTATAAAATGCCACATCTAATGGCTATCAGTCTAAAACCGCTTCACAACAGAGATGTTCAAGAAGAAAGGCTGCACCATCCAACCTGCTAGTATTGTACCAGGACTAACGGTGCCAAGGGCAAGCCTAGTGACAGGAGGTTCATTCACTACTTTCCAATGCAATGTGGGCCATGGCTGTATGGCTCTTATTTATTATTCAAGAGTTCTTCTTTATAGATTTTCTCTTTGTCTAGACTGTTCTGCAGCTTCTCCAGGATATGTTATTTGTATGGACTTAGTTTTGTTTCTCCTTTTGCAAATTGGTGTGATTACTGAATCTGATGTTTCATATCTCTTAAGAAAACTCTCACCTGTTATCTCTTCAGATACTACCTCTTCCCATTCTCTTCAATCTCACCTTCTAGAACTCCTACAGATGTATTTTAGACCTTCTCATTCACCTTCCATGGCTCTTCAAATATTTTCCATTTCATTATTTCTCTGGACTGCATTCTGGCAATTTTCTAGGGTCTATCTTCCTGTTCACTAAGTCGCTCATCAGCTTTGTTTAGTCTGATGTTTATTGCATCAACTAAAATGATTATTTTTTATTTCTGTAAGTTCTATTTGGTTCTTCCAATTCTGCCTGTTTTTTGGTTTTAATCACTTCTTTATGTTTTTAATTATTTTAAATGTAATTATTTTACAGTCTCTGTGGGATTTTTCTATTATTGTTTTATTATTTGAAGTTCATGGGTTTTGAAATTCCTATGCATTGCTTCTACTGATTCTAGTTGATGGTGGTTTATTTCCCTGTGTGTTTATAATTTTGAACTTATTAGAGAGGAGCTTTGTTTATGGAAATCCTAGGCAACATGGGTTGAGTACGTTATTCAGCTAGTACTCAAGGAGTATCACTGAGTGATATTGGTAGAATAAATTTGAATGTGGTTAAAAATTTCCTTACAGATCCCAGGCTGAGATAGAAAAATAAACTCCCTGTGCTGGAAAGTAGATTTTTTTTTTTTAATCTACTCCACGTTTTCAATTTTTTCCCCCCAAAGCCCCAGTAGATAGTTGTATGTCATAGCTGCACATCCCTCCAGCTGCTGCATGTGGGACGCGGCCCCAGCATGGCCGGAGAAGCGGTGCGTCGGTGCACGCCCGGGATCCGGGCCCGGGCCGCCAGCAGCAGAGCGCACACACTTAACCGCCAAGCCACGGGGCCAGCCCTACTCCACATTTTCAACGAGGGTGAAGCCTGCCAAGGATTCCTGATTAAGGTAGGGGTCTCAGTTCTAACTCCTTCTACCCTTAATTGGTCCTCAGGTCTCATCTCCATATCCCACAAGATAACCCAAGTTAAGTGACCCTAATTACTTTACATTCCTCTATCCCCCCCTCCCACTCCCTACCTGCCTAGGACAGCTATACTGTCAGCAGGCTCTTAATTGATTTTCTAGGGAAACGTAACTTTTGCTTCATTTACTATTTATAACTGATGAGAATTCAGACTCTGTAAAGATAGATTTCAACTTAAGTTAAAATTGATAAGTTTGCAAATTATTTTTGGCTGGTAGAGATGCAAATAATTTCTGTCCAGCAGAAAAGATAATCTCAAAAGTTAAGGTTTTATTGCCCTGTAGAACATTAACCAGCCAGCCCTGGTGGTCAAATGGTTAAGATTCGGTGCTTCCACTGCCAAGGCCTGGGTTCATTTCCTGGTCAGGGAACCACATCATCCATCTGTCGGTTGTCATACTGTGGCGGCTGCATGTTGCTGTGATGCTGAAAGCTATGCCACTAGTATTTCAAATACCAGCAGGGTCACCCATGGTGGACAGGTTTCAGTGGAGCTTCCAGACTAAGACAGACTAGGAAGAAGGACCTCGCCACCCTCTTCCAAAAAACTAGCCATGAAAACCCTATGAATAGCAGTGGAGCACTGTCTGATATAGTGTGGAAGGTGAGAGGATAGCACAAAAAGACCAGGCAGGGTTCCACTCTGCTGTACACAAGGCTGCCAGGAGTCCAAATTGACTCGATGGCACTAACAAAAAGAACACTAACCAGTTTTGAATCTAACTTAGTGATCTTATTTTCAGCATCCTTTCTTTCATTGACTATATAAGTCTCTTTAATACTCTTTTGAATCAGCTTTATATTTCTACTGGTAGCCTCATAAATCTTTGACGTACTCATTCTATACCTTTACAAGTCATATTTTAAAAATTTTTTTGAAAATTAGACATTCACATTATCTCTATTTATTGACAGTCTACCAAGTTTAGGTAATGTGTTAACTTCCTTATATATGTTATACTATTAGATTCAATTCCCATGAGGGAGGGGTTATTATTTCAATTTGACAGATGAGGGAACTGAGGCTTAGAGAAATTGAGTAATTTGTCCAAGGTCACCTAGCTAAGAAGGAACAACCATGATTCAAACCCAGTCCTCATGCTCTTTTCTCTTCACAATATAATGGGCTGAACATTCTTTTCCTCTAACATCTACCCATTGGTGTTGACACTGCAAGGAGTTGTTCTTTCTCTTTTCTAGACAAAATGGTCCACAATAGCTTTTGAGGGTAGATAATTCAATCTGTTGTTTCACATAAACAGTCCTAAACCCCCTACTAATTATTCCTGTGAACTGGTTTTAAGTCAAACTTGATTTCACCATTAAGAGCAAAATAATTGTAAGAAATATAGCAAAATTAAAAACTGAAAAATCACCTTAATATTGTTAAACTCAGATTGGAAAGTGTATGCTTGGAAGAAATCGAAATTTTTGTTTTTTAAATATCACAATGGGTATGTTATCCAATGTAAAGATTAAGGAAGACTATATGGTTTGAACCCTAACATTACAACTTATGGTCAAATATACCAAGTGCACTTCCAGAACAAGAAGAATTTAAAGGGAACTTAAAATGAGAATTCTAAGCTTTGAACTCCAAATTATTTTAGGTTCTCAAATTAAAAAAAACAATTAAGAAAGGGCTATAGAGGAACAGCTCTTGTGAATAGTAAAAAATGTATGGAATTCTGAGAAGTTAAGAACATGAGTTTGAACTACATTTTTAAAAAAATTGGAATTCTACAAAAATCCATTTTCTAAAGTCTCCCTATTTTTATAATCTATTCAAAAATATGTTCCACTGAAGGTGTCACCAAACCAAACATGCTGGAGATATTTGAATTAAAAAACCTTAGATGTCAATAGGTGACATAGGGGCAATTTTCAAGTTAGTTCTGCTTTGATAGAATTTGTCAAATTCTCAGATACTACTTCTATAGAATCAAGTAAATTTGCTTTAATATATCCACAGGGAAAAGTCTTCTAATTCTTACCTTACAGTCAGGTATAACTCCTCTTAAGAGGTGGCTGGGATGAGTACACTTATTAGAAGGCTATTTTGTGATTTTTATTTTAGCTAGGTGAGTGGTTCTCAAAGCCTGGTCCATGGACTTCTGGGAAGTCTCCAAGACCTTTTCAGGGGTTCCATAAGATGCAAAAACAAGGGTCGGTAAAACTGGTGGTGCCTTAGCATGAATTAGGCAGTAGACCAAGCTGTACCAAAATAGTCGTTGCATTCTTCACCATTACAAACTCACAGGAAAAAAAAAAAAGCCCAGTTTTACTTAAAAATACCCTTGATAAAACAGTAACAATTATTATCAATTTTATTAAATCTTGATCTTTTAGCACATATCTTTTTATATTGTAATGAAACAGGAAATATGCATAAAGCACTCTGCTGCATACCAAAATTGACTTGAGGGAAAGCGGTTGTACGGTTGTTTAAGTTGCAATTAAACTTCTTTTTTCGTGAAAACAACATTAACTTGAAAGAACAACTGACAAACTATGGTTATTCAGACTCAGGTATTTGGTGGACATTTTCTCAAAAAGGAACCAAGTGAGTCTGTCACTTCAAGGAAAACAACCAACAGTATTTCTTGCGATGATAAAATTCATTCTTTCAAGCAAAAAAGTTATAATTTTAGAAAACTTGCATCTGCCACCATGAGCCTGACAGCTTCCCAATACTTAATGACTTTTTAAAATGAGATTAGTGGTAACATTAACAAACGCGATTTTTTAAATATTGTATGATGAAATGTGTCCACATCACAATTCCCTGAACCAATATTTTCCAAATGACCAATGTACAGTAAGAAAAAAGAAATCATGCATGGGTAAAAGATCCATTCAAAGTGCAAGGTGGGCCAATAGGTTCCACTGTAATCATGCATGAAAAGTTCATTGATATGATTTCATTTTCCACACTGCAATAAATCTTTAAGAAATTATCATTTGTCGAGTTTTGGTGTATTAACAAAAAAGAATATCCAAAATTACCTGAAAAGATTATTAAAAATATTTCCTCATTTTCCAACTATATGTATATGCGCATGGTCTGATTTTTTTCATATCCTTCAACAACAAAATGTATGGCAAAAGACTGAGTAAAGAAGATATTATTATCTAATTACCTTCTATTAAGTCAGACAGTAAAGAGATTTACAAAAATATAAAATAATGCCATCAAATGAATTCATAAATAAGTCTTTAAAAATTTTTTCAGTTTTAATTTCTAATACTGTAAATACAGATAGATATAATCCATATAACCAGGCTGCTGGAGCCCTAATAATTTTTACGAGCATAAAGATGTACTGAGACCACAAAGTTTTAGAAATGCTGAGCTAAGAAGATACCACATTGGATGGGGTTTCCTTTGGAAGTGATGCAAATGTCTTGGAATTAGACAGAGGTGATGGTTATATAACATGATCAATGTACTAAATGCCACTGAATTGAACACTTTAAAATGGTTAATTTATGTTATGTGAATTTTACCTCAATAAAAGTGTTAAAAAATAATAATACTTTGGAACCACAAATCTAGAGTCCAGCTGATCTGGCACAGTCCCCTTTCACAGAATGAAGACCAAGAGCCATGTACTACCCACCATGAGATTACCTCAATCTAAAATTAACTTACGTTTTTTTGCTTGGCATAAAACTTAAATATTTCAGGAAGCCCTTTCCTTGAAAATAACAAAGACCATGACGAAGTTTTTACAATTTGGCCCAAACACCTGGGTTTTATGATCTCCATGTCATCTCAGACCACTAAATTAAACCATCTGTCAACAGCCAATATAACAGTCATCTACGTATCTGCCCATCCTAAGTATATAGTGCACTCTGTATGCCATGCTGTGCTAGGTCCTGGGCACAAAAGGGTGAGGAGAAATCATAGGTGGTCCCTGTACTCATGGAGCACATAGTTGAACGGAAACATAAATGAAAGAAAATATGTTCTATGAAGGAAAGGTGTACTATGTCAGAGCATGTGAAACAGGCGACACTGACCAAATTGAAGACTGGTGAAGGAGTCCCTGAGGACCAGTAACATCGGGTTCACTTGGAAGCTTGTCAGAAATGACAGATCCCAGGCCCCTTCCAGACCTACCTGAAGAGGAATCCGCATTTTAACAATCTTCCCAGGTGATTCCCGCTTGAGAAGCACTCACTGTTCTTAAGAATGTGTAGGGGGTTAATTAGATGAAGGAGGATTATTCTAGCAGATGTAACAGAGGAAGGCCCTACGGTCAGAAAGAGAAGGGCATGTTTGAAGAACTCAAAGAAAGCTACTGTGGCTGGAATGGAGAGAGCATGGGGAACACAGGGCAGGATGTTAGGGGCTGGTGTATACTAAATGTGGTCATGAGTAAACAGAGGGGTTACAAGGGACTGTAGCTTCCTGAACTCTGTCAGGCATGCCTTTCTGGCACTAAACTGTTTTCAAAACAAACACGACAGTTAGATAGTCATCCTTTTATAGTTGCTGAAGGGCAAATTCCTTTAATTCTAATGAAAGAACCAAGTTCTTACAGCACAAGTGGTAACAGCTCTGGTTCCCCAGAGTGAAACAACAGGGCAGCCTTGCAACACCTTAATTTGAATGTGTGTAAGAAATCATATTAACATCTTGATGACTTGGAGGGCCCTCATTACCAGTAAGGTCTGCACTCTCAAGAGGCAATGACTGCACTGCCGATTCTGCACAAATCTTAAGGCACAGTTTATTTGAGCCTCCTGATAACAAACGTGGGTCACAATGCCACTGACCAGGATGAACACTTTATCTAGTCCTTGGAAAACTTAATGGAACGTGACCCAGCAGGCCTGTAAAATTCAGCAGATTGCCCTGCAGGAGCTGCACCAAAGAGATGATATCAATAAATATTTGAGAGACAGAGCAGGATCTAAAACTTTACTGTGGCTCCAGGTGCTCATGGATGTCTGAGCCTGGGAGGAACTGATCATGCCCAACTATCCCCTCTGTATTGACTAAAATGCATTCTGTGGTATGAAGGCCTCCAGTGGGGCAAGAATTATGATGTGGACTTAGGCTAGCAAAGACAATTCACACTGGAAGCATCTCAGCAAAGCCTACAGTGCTAGGAAGGGTAGGAAATATCTTGATTAATACAAGGAAGATTGGCTCAATCTCCAGCTAACAAACCCTAGAGCAATGTCCAAGGTGATGGGAACCCAGGGTTAGGACTGATGGTTCTTTGAGGTAATTTCTTACTTTCTCACACTTCAGGGACCTAAGAGTATTGGGAAAAGTTGCCTGTATAACAAACTAAAGATGGAGGCGCAAGTTCATTTCCCTCAGAGTTGAAATTCTATCTAAATGACAGATGATGGGTTTGTGTCATTTTAGCAATGCCAGAGGGGACTGGAAGTTTTCTAGTTCTCTGGATGGGTATATCCAGCTTTACAATTCTTTTTCCAGGTACTCTGGAGAGAAAAAGATTCTTCCAACAAAGATATGACCAACTTCCTGATCTCTTATGGTTAGTAGAAGCCGCACTAGCAGCCTCCATATGGAACCCCAAATGGCCAGCTCTGACAACCAAAGACTAGGATAAAAACAAAAGTTTTGTCTTGCTTCTTTGTGAAAATCGTTGGTAAGCACTCTATCAGCTTTAAGAGTTTGAAAGTTCCCTTGCATAATAGGGACAAATGCAGCCAAAATTATTTAAATATTACAAGAAACATTAAAAAAAAGTAAGAGACCATCTCAGCAACCAAAATGGTTTCCAATGAGACTGAATTTCAGTGCATTCTTTTGGCTGAGGAGGTCTGCTTCCTTCCTTGTACCCACAAGCCACTTGACGGCTGCAACTCCTCAGCTCACTCAAATTCAGCTGAAAGGGATCAACATTTGGTTTAGCTGAACAAATGCTTTGGAGCACTCTGCATCTGCTACCACCAACCTCAAAGTCTGGGACAAGGACAGCACGAACAGGATCTGGCTGTCAGTGTTGCCTGTCTAGCTATGAAACTCAGACTAATCACTTCCCTTAGAAATGATTTGTTCTATGCAATGATATTATTGCCCCTGTTGACTTCTCCTAAGCTAATCTCCACCTTGGCCTCTTCCTCTCTGTGCTCCAACCGCACTGCTTACCTTCAACATGCCATTATCTGTGGGCCTCTACCCTTGTGTCCCTTCTCTTCACCCAACTAACTTCTTCTAATCCTTTAGATGTTAGTTCAATCCCTCTACTGCCCCCCCCATAATTAGGGACAGTCCCCGTACTCTGCTGCAGTTTGTAATTGCATGTGTATGAGGAATGATCTGGTGAAGGCCTCCCTCACTCTCTCCCACCAGAGGACACTCTGTGAAGCACCTACAGTAGGCCAGGCAGAGTGGGACCAATGATGAGGCAGACACTGGGCCTGTCATCAAGGAGCCTGTCCTATAACAGAGAGGAAGAAAAACAGGTGAATCAAGTGTTTCAGAAGCTGTCACTACAGTATGCACAATGCATAGGGCAGGGGTGGGAACAGCAAATTCCACCTGTGCAGAAAGTATTTCAGCTGGAGATATGGGCATAAGCAAAGGCAGAGAGCTGTGCAAGACTGAGGGCACTGCAAGCAGCTGGCTATTCCCAGAGCATCTGGCCTTTGGCACGGAGTGGAGAGAGGTGAGGCAAGGGGAAGCAGTTTCCAGAGCAAGCATGCCTTAGTACGCCACGCTGGAGAGTGCTTAAAGACTTCAGCTTTAAGTAGGGCAGTGAAAAGGGCAGGGCTCCCTTTTGGTTACAAACATGCCTCCCTCCAAATCTGTGGAAATTCAGGCCATAATTCTTCCCCTGCCCTCCTGCCAAATTTCCCATAAGCACTCCATGCAATCCACTTAAGGAAGCAAAAAGGAGTGAGCAGCATTTCCATGCATTCCAAATTCATTCTACGAGCCATCGCAAATCAATCAGCACAGGGAGCTGAGAATCCAGAGCTCACGGCTGGGCACAGACAGCCAAATCGGTCTCCTTTTTCTTTTCTTTTCTTTTTCTATTTTAACAGCAGATGATGAAGGAACTTATTCTTTAATTTTTTAAAGTTGGATTAAGTGATGGGGAATACTGTGATCATGGTTGTGACCCCAAATCTCCTTGGAAATCAAGCTATCCCCTTCAGCTAGGTCATTAAAAGTAGAGTCTTTTTCAGGTTGTTAAGTTCCCATTCAATTGCAGTTCTCACTGTACTTTGGATGCATCTGGATGGACGGGGCTAGTGGCCTGATGCAAAGGTCAAGAACATGGGTGGCTGGTCCTGCCTAGACACCTTCAATACAGTGGACGTGGAAAAGGGTCTCATCTTGGAGAACATTATTTGCTGTAAAATCATGCTGTAATTTTATCATGTGTAATGACTTGAAATTGGTTCTTTACAAATGAAGTGTTTCCAGGCCGTCTTATGAGAGAGGTAAGTCCCAAAATATAAGATGGGATAACGATATATTGAATCTGAGTCAAGAAGAGAAGATTTTTCTCAATTCAAAAAAATATTTAGTGTACGCCTATGATGTGGCCAACAGACTAGATGCTGGGGATATTCAGACAAATAAGACTTGATCTCCCAACCCACAAGGAACATCAGAGTGGAGAGAAGAGGAGAAAGGCAGACAAAGATAAATTTGGCTATAGTAAAACTGATCAATGGACCAGTTATTGGAGGGTATGCTTGAGGCAGAAATGAAGCCAGAATTTTAGAAGCATTAATAAATGGTCAACCAGCTTCCTGAGGACAGCAGTTATTGCCTGTGGCTTAGATCACTAATAATGTAAACTAGATCACATCTAGGAAACAATACAGCCTGTGACTAAGGGGAAAAAGAAAAAAGACAAAGAAAAAATCTCTAGCTCTAGTTTCCCAAAAGTACTTTAAGGACTGCCCTCAACTGATGAATAAACTCTGCTGAGATTCTTATTAACTATAACTTATTGGTGTGGTCCAGAAAAACATACGCTCAACAGTGATGACCTTTTATCTTAAGGAATAAATACAATAAAATATTTAGCTATGAATACCCAAATAAAGGTGAGCAACATGAACCTTTTCCCTACATTTTTTAAACTCATCAAAACTTGTGAAGTTCTGTGGAAAAAGAAAAGTCATTTAAACAGCAACCATGGGAAAAACTAAATCACTTAGACTTTTATGATTTGAAAAGGAATAATCTTGTTTTGTGAAATTCAAGAGGAAATAAAATACATTAGAAGGACAGGTCTGCCTTAAAGTGAGTTATATACCAATTCCCATCATCTTGGTTTCAGATCTATAATTAATGTTCGTGTAGAAGTAGAATGTAATTCGAGAAATAAATAGGCTAAGGACTCGAATAGGAACATGGTTACATCTCCTGACTGAAACTTTGTAGCAGTGTGACTTTGGGCAAGTTATAGAACTCTGAATCTCAATATTCTCCTCTGTAAACTAAAAATCCCAACATCCACCTTTTGGGATTTTTGCAGTGATAGTAGATACTGGAAATTGAAAGCATCTGACACATGGTAGGTCTTCAACAAACGCAAAGTGATTTTATTATTCAATTCTTTACGTTGTTCATAAATTCTCATTCCTCTTGACTTCTGAGCAAGGACAAACAGTGATGGGAACTTTTCTCCCTGGAAGGGAATAGTCAGCACAGCTCCATATTCTTGCAACAGACCAGAGAGAATACCCAGTTCATTCACCCTGAAGGAATTTCTCCTAACACTTCCTGGGTGATATAATACTTGTCTTGGGGATTGGGGCAAGTGTCAAGGCTGAAGCAACTGGGGTATTATCACCAAGCTGAGAGCCAGCAACAGATACCAAACAGCAGTTATAAATAGCAAAGGAAGACTCAAAAATGCAAAGTAGAAAATGCAGTAGTCTACCAAGTATCCAACATTCCCAGCAAAAGACCTTGGGAAAGAGTTAATGAGGTAAAAGCTGCCATTTTTGAGCCTTTACTCCATGCCAGAAACTGTGACATGCACTTTGCATGCATCAACTCAATCTTCACAACACGACTCTGAGGTAGGCCCTACTATTCTCCCCATTTTATAAATAGGACACAGAGGCCCAGCTGTCAGAAAATTTACAGGATGGCCCCCAGCTGGTGAGTGGTGTAACTGAAATTTGAACTCAGGTCTATCTGACGCCAGGGCTTCCACTCTTAAACAATATGCCATTTCCAAATGCACCAATGGAAAACCAATTACACAGTCACTGCCTTAAATAAACCAAGTAATTTATTCCCCAAATGGTAGGCTTAGTCTCCCAGAGTTCAGTTTTGGTTCATCCTGTAAGGTGTGAGTTCTAATCAGGACACAGCCAGGGGCTTCTGTTCTGATCATGGGCTGCTCCTTCCGTCTTCGTTGCTAGATCCTTCTCTCCCCACTTCTAAATGCTGCAGTGCCCAGGATTCTGTCCTGGGACCTCTCCTCTACTCACAGACCTGTCCTCAGTGATCTCATCAGTCCCCTGTTGATATATATGAAAAAAATCATCTATATGCTGAGAGCTCTCAACAGAACTCTTGATGTCCTCACTCCTGACAGTTGCCCATCCCACCACACGAATACAATAAAACTAGACCTTCCTTTCTTCCCCACAGAAGGCCCAAACCCCAGGGGTCATCCCTGATTCCTCTCACTTACAACATCTAGCCCATCAGTTAATCTTGTTGGCCCTATCTTCAAAGGATATCCCAAATCTGACCACTTCTCACCACTTTTACCACTACCACCCCAGTCCAGGCCTCCAATGTCTTTCATCTGGACTACTGCAATAGCCTCCCAATTGGTCTTCTTGACTCACTCTCACCCCCATTCAGCTCATTCTCCAGAGAGCAACAGAGCCATCTTGAGAAAACAACAACAAAACAAATCATGCACTCACCCCCTCAGAACCATCCAGTGGCTTCCCATTACAATTAGAATGGAATTCAAACGTCTTCCCACGCCCCGCTAAACCCCACCCTGTCTGGCCCCTGCTTAGCTCTCCAAATTCAGCTTGTACCATACTGTTCCTTGAATTAGCCAAGTGTGTTTCCACACAAAGCAGGTTCCTTTCTCAGGGCTTTTGCACTTACTGTTCCCTCTGCCTGGAAGAGTCTTCCTCTAACTCTTCAAACAGCTTTGCTTTCATATTTCATTCAGGTAATGACTTAACTGTTGCCTCCTAGACCACCTGGTATAACAGTTCCTTGCTACTCCCATCATTCTAACTGCACACTCTTCCCTGAGAGCACTTAACACTTCCTGAAATTATCTTTATAATAGATTTAGTCTACATTTTTATATCATATTTTTTAAAAATTCGCTGCTGTATTTACAGGACATAATACTGAGTAGGTGCTCAATGAATATTTGCAAATATCTGTCTCTCTCCTCAATTAAAATTTAAGTTCTAGGGCCGGCCCCGTGGCTTAGCGGTTAAGTGCGTGCGCTCCGATGCAGGCTGCCCGGGTTCGGATCCCGGGCGCGCACAGACGCACTGCTTCTCCGGCCATGCTGAGGCCGCGTCCCACATACAGCAACTAGAAGAATGTGCAACTATGACATACAACTATCGCCTGGGGCTTTAGGGTAAAAATAAAAAAAAAAAAAATTTAAGTTCTAGGAGGGCAGGGACTTGGTCTGTCTTGGTCACTGCTATCTCCCCATGCCTAGAATAGCACCTGCTGTAACAGGCACCCCAGTATTTGATGAATGAATAAGTGAAAGGATCCTAGCAGTCTTATATAGATCAGGCCAATGCCCATCTCACAGGCAACAGAAGGGCAGGCATTCCTTTACCAGAATGGCCATCTGAACTCAAGTTCAAGTAGTTCAAAGTGCCCCACTATCCAGAGCTAGGTCACATTCTTGGGGCTCCACATTAGACCTTCCCCATTCAGATGTCCTGGAGCTAGATGACAGCTGGCTTGGTCATTCAAAAGGGGAGAAGAGAAAGTGAGACAATATGAGCCTAGGTTTTGGGCACCAAGACAGTTCTGTATCTTACCTCCTATCTCTAGATTCCCCCATGCCCTGCATAGCCTGCATCAAACAAGCTCATTTTCCCTGGACACGCTGCACCACTGGATCAATTTCCACAAACAGTACCATGCTAAGGCTATAGGGACGTGAGTCCAAAGACAAAACAGGTCCTCTGTGCATCCTAGTTCTATCCCAAGGAGTCACTGAAACGATGCAAGTACTTGATCCGTGGCCTGAACAAGGCACATATATTTAAAAACACATCCATTTAATCTGGTATGACAGTGAGAAAGGTTCATATGGGGCCCATGATACCAGGCCAGCTGTACTCCGTCTGGCAGACCCTGCAGGTGTTTTCAGTTAAATGTGATAATCAAATTAGCTGCACAGCTCAGTTAACTCTGAAATGGCAAACTGAGCTTCCTGGGTCATCTCCCCGTCTGCCCTTCTCCCAGGCTAAGTGCAAAGACTGAAGAACCTTAGCCTGGTAGCAAACGCTCAAGTGAAGGCCAGTGAGCAGAGGTGCTTCCAGGCGTGCAGGGGTAAAAATAGAGAAGGGGAAAGCGGGCGGGAGGTGGGTTTCTGCTCTAGCAGTCTCAAAAGCAGAAGGCGCTTACTTCACAGTATGCCAAGATAAAAAAAACTTTTTTTTCACAGGCTTACCCCATTTAACTTGTTTGGTTGTCCAACTATATAGATCCCTGTGCCCTTCCACCCCTTTACTCTTCCCAAGTTGATGCTGCACTCAGAAGAGGCTAAGCTTCCTAGCACTCCCAACGGAGCCTACGTTAAAGGAGGGAATGAAAGGTCTTCCGCAGGACTGGTTATGAGAAACCAAAGAAAAAGTTAAATGTGTGAAAAGATAACTTGATACTCCCAGGACCTTTTCCACGGCCAACGTTATTCTTGCCCAATTCAGCTGGAAATTACCTCTGGGGTCCAAATTTGCAGAGCATGGTAAAGAGATAACGCGCATGACTGGAGGATTGGTTCCTTGAAACAAAAATGCCATGTAAATTTCGTTGATTCTATTACTACTGATTCACTTAAATGGCGCCACTGCAACCACCTGTTTCACCAGCCAGCCATGAACAAAGTACTTAAGACGCCCAAAGAGCTCAGACGCTGCAAGTCTCTAAAGTTGCTTTCCAGTTCCTAAGCAAATCTAACCCACCTGTTCCTATTTCACCCCAGTCGTACACAGAGCTAGCTTTCAATTATTGATGTTAATGAGGGGGCAATTTTCAATTATCCATGCTAAGCTGCAACAGATACATTCCTGAAAAGTTCTCTCTAAACCCAAATTCTGTATCTGAAACCCCCTTGTCCCATTGACTGCTATAAAATTCCAGATGTAGTCTGAGATGGCAAACTAAAGGCAGATGGAACCATTCTCTATTCTCTAGCTCTTTCAATCAGTGTCCACAGCTGAGGGAAATGAGAGGAAGGAGTTGGGTCTGGATGCTGATGAAAAGTCCAAAATGGGAATTTAGACCCAGCCAGGGCCAGGACTAGGGTGAGGCAAGAGAGACACATGGGGTGCAAAATTTAAGGAGGCAATAACCTTTAACAATCTAGAGAGAAAGCACCTCTTTTTAAAACCACAAAATTTTAAAAAGTGCTAAAGAGGCTGTCACTCTCAGGCTTGTTGCAGGTCACTCCCTCCTTAAATTCTGCAGCCCAGGTTGCTCTCTTGCCTCCTCCTAGTCCCAGCCCTGCTAGACACATCATCTTGGTGTCCTGGCTTACTTTACCTGTAGGTAAACATTTTTTACTGAGTTACCATAATGTTATTGGCTGGGTAACGCAGGAACCTAGTCTTTGTTCGGATTTTTCTTTCTCTCTTCATTAGCTTCCTTGCTTCCACTTTCTGTCCATTCACAGGAGGTAGGAAACACAGTAGTTACATGTTGGTTCGCTTTAATGGTGGAACATATGAGGACGTGCAGAGACTAATTGGCCTTTAGAGGCTGGCAGCAAAGATGAGAGGCAATTAGGGGCTTAAGGATATTCCTGCAATCAGGGTTGGGGAAGGAGAGATGTGCTCAGCCTGAACCCAGAAGACCAGAGCCCAGGCACCCACAGCTAGAGCCTCCTCCCCCATACTGAGAAGCCACAGAGCAGTGAGTGTTCCTGCCCTTAGACTCCTCTGCAGACCCAAAGTCAGAAAGACGGACTTCTCTTGGCAGTTTGCTTTTAGAAATTCCTCATACCACTTAGAAATTTCAGGCTCATCCTCAAAAGAGACTTCCACAAAGAAGTTGGCAGGGCCTTATTATCTTTGCAAGCCAGAAAAGCTGGCTCCCCACAGCCATGGCGACCTGTTTAAGCCAGGAGCCCCTGGAGTACAGTCATCTGCAGTGAGGCCTTTATGAGTTGTGCCTGCAGCTGCTTGGCCTCTGGGGTGCTAGGGCTATTTTATGGAGGCTGTGGCACAGGTTAGGAGCCTTTACATTTTAGAATAAACAGGACTGTAAGGCCCCAGTGGGGACAATGAGCAGGACAGGTGCTAAGGTGTTTCTATGTCAGAGCTCTCTGAGGGGTTCAACATGAGTTGTCTGTAATCCTATGAAGATATTCACCTCCTTGGTTCTTTTTCCTTCCCCGATATTCTAGGCCTCCATTCCACCACCTCCACTCCAACCTCCGTAGCCTAGCTAACATTTGCTTAAATCTTTTACCATTCAGGTTATGGTAACATACCAGCTCCCACACACCTAATGGATTCAAAGAACTCAGAGCACCGCCTGGGACACAAGACGTGCCTCAGGAAGTATTCTGTGTCTAAATCAATCTATCGCTCCAAACGAAAACCATGTCAGGCATATAAACCGATTGAGTCATTATGGAGAATAATTTGGCAATATCTAAAAAAAATGAAGCTGCATATATCCCTGCAATTCTGCTGCTAGATATACATCTTGCCAAAACTCACACATGTGCAAAAGAATGTCTGCAAGGATGTTCACTGCAGCATTGCTTATAATGGTAAAAAATGAGAAACCACTCCAAGTGTCAAGGAAGAGGGGAAAGGGATAAATGATACGTGGCATATTTACACAGCG